AGAAGTATGAAAACAGCCTCAGCATTGTCAGCAATGCCTTCTGCACCACTGATTGCTTAGCCCCCTTGGCTAAGGTCATCCGTGACAACTTCAGCATTGTGGAGGGACTCATGACCACAGTCCATGCCATCACTGCCACCCAGAAGACTGTGGATGGCCCCTCTGGGAAGATGTGGCGTGATGGTCACAGGGCTCTCCAGAACATCATCCCTGCCTCAACTGGTGCAACCAAGGCTGTGGGCAAGGTCATCCTTGAGCTGAATGGGAAGCTTACTGGCATGGCCTTCCCCGTCCCCACTGCCAACATGTCAGTCGTGGATCTCACCTGCCATCTGGAGAAGGCTGCCAAATATGATGATATCAAGAAGGTGGTAACGCAGGCATCAGAGGGCCCCCTCAAGGGCATCCTGGGTTACACCAACCACCAGGTCGTCTCCTCTGACTTCAACAGTGACACCCATTCTTCCACCTTTGATGCTGGGGCTGGCATCGCCCTCAATGACCACTTTGCCAAACTCATTGCCTGGTATGATAATTAATTTGGCTACAGCAACAGGGTGGTGGATCTTATGGCCCACATGGCCTCCAAGGAGTAAGAACCCCCAGACCACCAGCCCCAGTCAGAGCACGAGAGGAAGAGAAAGGCCCTTAGCTGCTGGAGTGCCCCTGCCTACTCAGTACCCCAGATCACTGAGCATCTCCCCTTGACACAGTTTCTACACCAGACCTCCTAAAGAACGGGAGGGGCCTAGGGAGCCCCACCTTGTCATGTAACATCAATAAAGTTCTCTGAATTAAAAAAAAAGAAAAGAAAAACAGGAAGCTATTGCAAAGGCTCTTCTGACCCTACACGCAGCACCTTGGGGTGGTCAGCTTTCTCTCTCCTCCAGCAAAGGGGGCCCAAGCCACTGAGTATCCGGGACCCTCACGTCTGGTCTGGGGAAGACTCCCGTTGGACGGGGTAGTCGCTCGGCAGGACTCTGCACCCAATCCACTGCTGGGGAAATCTGCCTCTGTGTGTAGTGCAGGGACAGGAGGTAGATGCAGTTTGAGAAGCCATGTTTAATATAGCTATTGTTTCCATAACACAAACTGTAAAAATTAAAATAACCCAAACCGCAGAAAATAAAGCTCAGGAACATTTCCCTGTCCAACAGGGATAAGCAGGATAGGAAATCCTCTGATATAGAAGGTGGGCCGCCCCTCTTTGCTGAGGATGTGCAGATGGGAAGGTGAGCAGGAAGTCACCCGGCACACACCATCCTTCTCTCCCACACGCACAGCGCCGTGACAGCAGTAATGTCTATTCTGCTCACTGCCCCTCTCAAGCACCTAGAAAAGAGGTTGCAACCTAGTGCGTGTTCCGGTGAAAATTTTCCCAATCAAGCGGTTTGTGAGGGTTCAGAAGAAGTCCCGGAAAGGGTGGAAGAAATGCCACCTCCTGTCCTTGGTTCATCTGCTGAGGAGCTGGAGATAACAGACAGGATCAGAAGCGTGATCACGGAGCTCTCATCTGACTCAGAGCCGCCAGAATGCTCTGTGGGCCTGGACAGACACTTCTGTGTTCCACGGAACTTGCTTGGGCCCAGACCCACGCCCCTGAACAGCAGTGGTTTAGGGATCAGGTACACTGCATTCTTTATCCCAGTTTCAGGGAAGAATCCTTTTTTAGTAGCGCCAAGAAAGCAGGGGATGTGAAATTTCTCTGTCTGCTTATATCTAATTAACGTTCAGTGAGTCTCTGGCTATTTAAAATAGAGAAATAATGCATATTTATTCACACATGCTTTGAGATCTGTGGGTAAAAAATGCTATATTACTACCAACCACAATGAATGCACATACTTTAAATATAATTATCAATTACCAGCTACCACCTGTTGAGATAACTAACTACAGTGCCTTTAAACACCATCCTTCCAAATTTTAGAATTGGAAACATTCTTCAATGTTATATACACTATATTCAACCAACTCATTAAGGGAATTCTTTGTTACTCTTATTATGACTTATGTTATCAGCAAGAGAAATGGGAATTAAGCTACGTGAACTACTAAAACGCCTGAGGACCTGTCGTTAAAGTTTGATCTTCTTATAAACTCATCTTTCGAAACTCTTTCAAGACACACTTAATGGTGTGTATACATATAAAGCCTAATGCGATACTGCTGCCATTGTAAATACAAAATTTTGCCCTCTTGGCAAATCAAATATTAAATGGTTAAAATGCATACAAAGTGAGATGCATTTTTATAAATACAAAGCCCCTTGTGCAAATCAGTTCATAAACCATGCATAAATAGAAGGTATTATGTTACTCTTTCCCCACCCGGGACCCTAGATTGCAGCTAAAACCATAAGACTCTGCTTATAGATGAGCAATTATTACGGGGTTTTTATTCTTCAAAGCTATTAACATTTTTATTGCATAAGCAAAGTTATTACAAACAACCTCTAAAATGTGAAGAACAATTTCCCCGAAACTCCTCCTAAGGCCAGGCCGCCACATAAGGCCCTGTATTTGTTTACTAAAAAGAGAAAAAAAAAAGTAAGTAATTTAAAGCTGAAATAAAAATGCTGTTGGTGTAAAGTCCAGGAAGTTTAAGTCAAACTGCACTGAGCTGTTCTACACAGCACATGTTCTCAAGTGCAAGGAGGTGGCGTACAAAGCAAATATACTTCAGTACTTAAGTCCTCTGATGCTGTTTTGAAGACCGTCCTTACTCAGGGCAGTCAGCATCATCACCACCAGCCCCACCCGCGGGTAGCTTGGCAGGGACTTCTGGCACCATTACTGTAGGACTCCACAAAACTTCAGCCAGTCAAACTACAAAGGATAAGAGAATGGTGTCTTCGTGTGGAGTCTACAAAAGCATTTACAGAGGCCTTTCTGCCATCATACAAAAAATTCATCATTTTAGAGAATAAGGCAAAGATAGAAATTCTACCACAATGCTAGGAGTGAAAAATGAATTTCCGAAGTCAGCCCCTGTCCCTCAATATTTGGTATTTCATCCTAAAAAGTATCTGTGAGTATAAAAATACTTTCTCCCAGTATTGGTAACAGATTTCCTTGATGCCATGTTGCCATGAAGTGAAGACATACCTGATAACTAGATAATTTATCTATGTAAGACACCAATTAGCAAGGACAAGGCTGACTTCATTTCTCATGCTCCTCTTTGAACTGCAGGCCCCAGTGTGGAGTTTGAAGAGGCACCGGGAGAGAAATCAATAGGGTGGGATGAGAAGGGAGGGATCTATTCTTAAAGACTCAGTTGTCCAATCCCCAACATGCTGCCTCCGACTTCCAAATTGCAGAGCTGAGGAGGATCTGTACATACATTTATAAATTGTATTGTATATATTTAGGGTACACAACATGATGTTACCAGGCACATATAGATAGTGAAATGGTTACTATAGTGAAGCTAATTAACATAGCCGTCAACTCACACAGTTATCCTTTTATCCTTTCTCCTTCTTTTTGCGGCAAGAACAGCTACAATCTACTCATTTAGCAAAAATCCCCAACGCCAGGCACTGTGAGCTCCCGCACTGGCGCTGTGCATTAGCCCTGCAGCTTGCTCACCTACACACCTGCTACTTTGGGTCCCCGGACTGACGTCTCTCCACTGCCTGCTCCCTGGCGCAGCCCTGGTAACTGTTTTATTCTCTATCGCTGCACATTTTCTTTCTAAGATTCCACACGGGAGATCACGCAATAGCATCACGTCCTCTCATTTTATTTGCAGGAAAACGCAGATGCAGTGCTGCAAGGTACAGGGACGTGCTCAGAGTTGCAGGCCCCTCTCTGCCACTCCACCCACTGTCACCGAATACCGAGATATCCACCTCACCCTTTATGTACTTTCTGCTAAAGAAAATTTCAAAAGCCCTGAACCTTGGGGCTCATGTAATGAGAAAGAGGAGATTTAAAAGTGCTGGAAAAGGCATTTTCTGTTGGGACAGGGGTGGTTTGGAAGCATGACTGTTTTCTTCTTTGCCCCGAAGGCATGAAAAAAGGCATACTTTGAAATGACAATAAGATGGGGGGGATGTGCGCACACACACACACAAAATCATCAGGCTGAACCTCGGCTTCTTAGTAGCCAGTTTCATGGCTTCTCACTCAGAGCAAAGTCGTGTGCTGAGAGTAGAACCGGGAGCAATCACAGACCCCCAGACTCAGGATGATCACGGAGCTCTCACTGTGCGGCTGTTCACCATGCGATCACAGACACCCAGACTCAGGATGATCATGGAGCTCTCACCATGCGGCTGTTCACCATGCGGTCACAGACCCCCAGACTCAGGATGATCATGGAGCTCTCACCGTGCAGCTGTTCACCATGCGATCACAGACCCCCAGACTCAGGATGATCACGGAGCTCTCACCGTGCAGCTGTTCACCATGAGGTCACAAGGGCCCGTGTGACTGGCAGTGAACCTCCAGGCTACCTGGACAATGCAGCCCTCCACTTGGGGACCAGGCAAGAGCAGCTCTGAGAAGCCAGTGAGGAAACCAGACAAAGAGGCCTGCAGTAGATCAGACAGAGTGCAGCCTGCACTGCTCCAGAGAGACCAAGCTCATCAGATGCAAAGTGTGAAAGTGTCGAGGAAGAGTTGCTAAGCCTCCGCTCATGGAAGGATGTGTCTACCACATGAACTGTCTGAAGCAATAACCAATCTTCAAGTTCACAGAGACAGAGACCAAAGGAAGAGAAGAGCAGCAGCAGGAGTTGGGACAGAAAGTGTGAGCTCAGACAGAAAGCTTGCAGCCAGGCACGGAGCCGCATGCCTGTGATCCCAGCACTCTGGGAGGCCAAGGCGGGGGTCCCTGAGGCTCCGGAGTTGGGAACCAGCCTGAGCAAGAGTGAAACCCCGTCTCTACTAAAATAGAAAAACTAGCTGGGTGTGGTGGCTAGAGAAAGGAGGCTGAGACAGGAGGCTGAGACAGGAGGATCACTGGAGCCCAAGTTTGAGGTTGCTGTGAGCTTTGATGCCATGGCACTCTACCTAGGGTGACAGAGTGAGACTGTCTCCAAAAAGAAAGAAAGAAAGAAAGAAAGAAAGAAAGAAAGAAAGAAAGAAAGAAAGAAAGAAAGAAAGAAAGAAAGAAAGAAAGAAAGCTAGCTTTAAAATGCCACATGAAGTAACTGCAGGAAGCCCCTGGGCTGTGGTGCAGCTGGAACACCTTTGGAGAGGCACAGTACCCAGCCATTACACACAATGCCGCATGGACCAGGGGAGGAGGCCCCGGAGACTTTGCCTCTCTACCCTTCAGTCACCAAGCAGAACGTGATGGTTTTCGAGATTCACAGCTGCACTTTATACAATGCAGTCACTTACACATATATGTGTGTATCTCTGTGTGCACACGAGCGACTTGATTCCCATCTACTTTAGTGTTGTTTAGTTCTTCTCGATTAATATCTTTATTCGTGATGAACCAAGTGAAAGAAGCCTATTCAGGCATTGTTGAAATAGAAACTCATTACAGTCCATTAGTCATCTTTCTTGCACAGCTTTGGTGCCTAGATTGAGGTGATCAGGAATAAATAGATCCTTTGCCCTTGGACTCATATCTCCTTCAAGGGCTGGCTCTACATACGTTCATTTCCTCCTTAAAAAGTCTCCTTTTTTCTTTCTTTCCTTTAATGAGCTGCCACTTTTTCTACTTTTCCAATTTCCTTTCCTCTCCTGGCCTGGCTGTGGACTAGGACCTCCTCTCCACCTTGCCTGTCTTTGCTGTCTCGGAAACTACATACACAGGCTTTTTTCG